AAAAAATGGCCAACTCATTAACCTTGCGTTTTTGTTGGCAAAACGGTTAGCGTTTCGGGCTGTTGTACCCAAGTTTGAGGGTACCACTCTGATTGAAGCCTTGGGTTTTTAAGGGCGAAGAAATCCTCTGTACCCCTTTTTCGAGGGGAAGTAAAGCCGGCTGCCCCATATTTTATATTTACAGCACGTAAAAGATCCTCAAACCCAAAAGAGCCTCTGAGCAAAATTCGAAAAAATGCCTGTTTTGCCTCTCGAGTAATAACTTCTGTCTCCGCTACACGGTGAAAGGAGCTTAGCGAAGTGCTTAGCGTGGTCAGACGGAAGAGAGGATCAGATGGCCCGAGTCCCGCCACGTAAAATAAGGCATTAACTAGCTAATGCGAATTATGGACGATTGAAACTATGCAACCAGAATAAACTCCATAGTTAGCAAGCATTTTAGATTAAAGAAGTTACGAGTCTTTGGAGGCAATTAGTCGTCAACGTTGAAGTGCTCAGCACGTGAAGAATCGAGTACACATTTTAATAACAAGGATTATTATTGATGAATGGTAAAAAGACCATTATATCCTGTAATGCTACCGAGTAAAGCGAACTATACTAGCAGTATTTTCGAAAAAAGGAGAGCTGGAAACCTCAATGCAAATAGAATGGAAATACCGGGAACATGCCTGCAAGTAATGCCGTATGCGAAAATGCAATTTAGCATGGGACCACGCATTCAACATTATATTGCAAGCCCAATCAATACATATTCCACTTTGTGCGTGCCGAAAGACAATAGCGGTCAAAAGCAGACGTTCAATGCCCAGCCCCACGAACGGGAGGCAGAAACAAACGATTTCATGAACACGGTCCGTAATAGCACCCCCACAAATATTCCTTCAGCCAGGAAAATTGCCAGGGGTCGGCGCATTATTATTTAAACACACTCGTATTTCCCACTGAAAAATTCATGGAATTTGAAGCACGAAGCGCAGAAATTCAAAAACACTTCATGGGCTGAGAGCGTGGGTGAATCCGAATTGACCTTCAGTTGTAGCAGGTCTGGGAGAAATCCTGAGAGTACGATGAAATAAACGCGAAAGATAGAATATAAAGAGAAAGATTATAAACTAGAATAGCAAATTAGAAGACACACGTAACATGCGAGGATTTTTTCGAAATCCTTGGCAACTTAATTAGATATTCAGATGGAATTGCCGAACTCGAGAGCACGTGTCCAATGTCAGCCCTCAATTGCATCCTGGAGCAGGAGCTAACGATAGAAAGGAATATGAAACAAACTGACACCAGCATTCCAATTTTCCATTAAACAAACACTCGTTTACCTCACAAATAGGTAGTGCCTCTGAAAATAGTCTCCAGAGTTTCCACGTATGTTTGTCACCTGGAAAGTGTTTAATTCCATCGGCTAATTATGATTCGTTTATGCAACAAATATCGCATATATTTCGTTACAATGTTGTTCTTGAGAGTGTAGGCTTCCGCGACAGGAGTCTGCATCTACGAGTATTTGGGTGCCCGGGACGCTGCGTTCTAGTTACAGTTGATAATGTTTCGAGTTCGATTGCATTTCGCCCCGTGGAACGCCGCACATGAAGGCCGAAACGTTAGCATCTGTGCCTAGGACGCAGCGTCTCTCTAAGAGACAAGGAAGGTACACACATGTATAATTATATTGTAATTGTTTGCAAAACACGTTCCGCGTAATTGTACCTCAGATTCGAAATAATACCAAAAACACGTGGACGAAATTGACGTGGACGTGGACAATTGGAAGAAACAAAACTTGTTTTAACACTTTACAGCCCTCCATGATCTATCATATTACATCCTCTTTGCAGTATGCCAGTGGCACGACACATCCGAGCGCCAATAACAGGATCAGAAGGACACTGAGGTAGTGCTGCTAAAATTGTGTTTCTTTAGTGGAAATGATATGTTATTTACACAAGGCTGCAGAGTTTAAAAAATGTATGAGTTAGAGCAGTGAAGTTGAAAAATTTATTTTAAACTTGACATTTTATTTGAGGATGTCATCAAGAATATCCTCTTCAATGTACTAGGAGAAAAAACAAAAACAAAAATCAACAATAGAGCATATAGATTTAAGAGCATTAGAATCGGAAATACACAAACCATCAATGTCACTTTTAAAATGCAATATTATGAAGTGAAAACGTTCAGTTGTGAACTTCACAGAAATAGTGGATTTTACATGATGGGATTTTCATATTTAAGTTGCTTATTCGATTAAGGGATAGGACGAAACTGAGTCGCAAATTATAGAGGAAGAAAAGAAAGAAGAACGGAAGAAAAGAAAGGAGAACGAAAGGAGAGAAAGAAGAACGGAAGAAAAGAA